CCTTTTTATCGGTACCGGGGATCGAACTCACGACTGCCTGCTTGCAAGGCAGGCGCTTATGCCGCTGAACTAAATCCCTAGCCCCCTCTTCCTTTCTTTTATACAGCCCTTTTAATTTCTTTCTCTTGGCTGATCTCATTGTTTCTAGTTCTGTACTGAGCAAGAGTGGTGATAGCAGACATCCTTGTCTTGCTCCTGATTTTAGAGGGAAAACTTTCATTTCCCCCCATTTAATATAATGTTGACAGTTGGTTTGTCATAAATGGCTTTTATCAGATTGAGATAAAGTCCTTTTATACCATTTTCTTTAGGGCTTTTATCATGAATGAATATTGGATTTTTTTTCTTTTTCTTTTTGTTACTGGGATCAAACTAGTGACCTTGTGATTGCCAGATAGACGCTGTGCCCTGACTCTTGGATATTGGATTTTGACAGAGGTTTTTTTCCCACATCTTTTGGGATGATCAGTATGGTTTTTATCTGTTTACATGATTTGTTAGATTTATTTATTGATTTGTGTGTGTTGAACCATCCTTGCATTACTTGGATGAAGCTACTTGGTTATGATGTATGATCTTTTTGTTGACTTGCTGCATTCTGTTTGCCAGTGTCTTGTTGAGGATTTTTATGTCTACATTATAAAAGAGATTGGCCTGTAGTTTTTTCGTTGGGTTTTTGTCTGGTTTTGTAATCAGGATTTTTTTTTTGGTACCGGGGATGGAACTCATGATCACCGGATTTCAAGGCAGACGCTTATGCTGCTAAGCTAAATCCCCAGCCATGGAATCAGGAATTTTTAAAAACTTATATGTGATAGCTAAAATGATATTCTTTATTTGCTCCCTACATAGTATAACTACGTGAAAATATCTGATCAAAAACATGTAATGTCTGTGTTTTAAAATAGAATGTTTTTTTCTTACTAATTTAGTTTCTATTAGCTAGCAGTTGCTATATTTAGAAACACGGCCTGAAAGTAACAATTGACTGCATGCGATTTCACTCTTTTACTGTGCTAAGACTTAAACTATATTAATACATTTGAAGTTTTACGTATAGCACTGTTTACTTAATAGAAATTGTTTTCAGGTAGAAGTGGATTTTGGTCATAGGAAGGATTTAGGTTGCATGCACTTTTGAGTTATCTTATTAATTTTTTTGTCATTGTACTTGGAATTGACTCAGGACTTTCTTACTTACCTATATCTCAGCCCATTTTTTATTTTTGAAGCAAAATCATTCTGAATTACTAAATTGCATAGACTAGGCTCGAACTTGAGCTCCTCCAGCCTCAGCCTCAAAGAATGCTCAGATTACAGGCCTGCACTACCAGGCTAGGGTAATAAATGATTATTTAAACTAGATTTTGGCAAAGGCATCTGACTAATCTAGCTTTAAGTCAGGGGTCCACAGCCTGGTTGTGGCCTGTTAGGAATCAGGACACATAGTAGGAGAGTGATAGGCAAGCAAAGCTTCATCTGTATTTACAGCGTCTCCCCATTACTTGAATTACTACCTGAGTATTAAATTGTCATAGGAGCATGGACCTCACTGTGACTTGTATAAAGGAGGGAAGGATTTAGGTTGCATGCACTTTTGAGTTATCTTGAAACCTATCCAGGGAAAAATTTCTTCCATAAAACCGGTATCTGGTGTCAAAATGGTTGAAGACTGCTGTTTTAGTTGGTTAATACCAAGTGTGGTTAATCTCCCTTGGTGATTGTTACCAGCCAGTGGTTTATTTCTGAAATGCCAAAATGGGATAAACTGGAGTGAAATGTCTGTTCCCTTGTTGGATTCCCTGTATTTATTTTAGTTGAAACAAGAAACTATGCTCCTTTTTGTAAAAGGAAAGAGAAAACACAAAGTTTTTAGCCTTTAGCATTTCAGATGAGGTTACTTACAAGGGAAAAACAGGTAGTTGGGGGTATATATATTCTTGCCCACTGTTTTATTTTTGTACCTAACTAGAGATGGAGGGGGAGGAGATTCTGTAGTGCTTAAAATTTAAAATAAACCTTCTTTTCATTGGCAAAAGTAGTATTGTTAAAGGTGGATATATTTATTTGCTGTTGAATATAGCTGCTAGACAGAGATGAACTATGTATGGCTATCATTGGCAATAAGAAAACTGCTATGACTCTACAGTATATAAGATCCTATGGGGCTTTTATATTCATTTCCATGATAAAGACTAATTTAATTAGATATATTATTATTTTTGGCTTACCTGTTATATAGTGTGATATATCATCAAGCTTTTTATCTTAAATAATGCAAAGTTGGTCTTATTTCTGTATAGCTACAAATGATTTTCATTTTGGTTGGCCAGATTTATGTTGAGGTAATTCTCTTGCAATCTGAATTACCAAAAAGGTATATCTTGCTGAGATGGATGGCAAATGCCTGTAATGCTAGCACTCTGAAAGGCTGAGGCAGGAGAATTGCAAATTCAAGCCTAGTTTGGGCAACATTTCAAGCCATAGTCTTAAAATAGATAATAAAGATTGGAATATAGCACAGAAGGCCCTGGGCTCAATTCTAGTACTGAAAAAAAAAAGTGTATCCCAGCAAGTTTATCAGGTAAAATGCTTAGAAACTGTCAAGAGCAATGTACCAGATATTTACAAAGTAATAGTCATAACTGGGTATTTTATCCTTTTATTGATTTCATATTGAGTCAGGCTTATTTTTAAAATCCTAGAGAGGGTAGGAAAAGTAAATAGTAAAACTGAATGCTTTTTTGGATATCTAATTGCCACAAATGAACCAAGCGCTTAAGAATATGATGTCTTATAAATATGATATAATATTGACACCTTGGGGGGTTGCTGTTGAATCTTTCTCTTTCTAGCCATCCTCAGGTGGGCAGTGAATATTGGCTGTTAATTTGTAACATAGTCTTACTCAAATCTGTTCCCATTTGTTGTTTCTAGCCATTATAATGCCTAGTTACATCCTAAGTCTTTAGTTTTTTTTATTTGTAATATAATTTACGTATCATAACATTTATCAGGAAGTTACATTTCATTTGTTTTTAGTAGACTGACAAAACCATGCAGAAGTCACCACTGTATCTTCAGACTTACTAGAATCACTACCATTCTTTCCCCCATTCCTCAGGCATCCACTAATCTACTTTCTGTCTCAATGGATTTGTCTGGGTTAGACATATTTTTATTTGCTATCCATTAAAAAAGTTGATTACTACTGGGCATGGTGATGCACGTTTGCAATCACAGCACTCACTTGTAATCCCAGTACTCCCCAGCACTCAGGAGTATCCCCACAGCAAGTTCAAGGCCTGCTAGGGTTGCATAGTAAGTTCAAGGCCAGCCTGAGGTACATAGTGAGATCCTGTCTCAAGAAACAAAAACCCAAAATAAAACCAACCAAATAAAAAGTTGATTATCAGCTAGCCAAATAATGTAACCCAGGTAGTGTTTTCCTGTGGTTAAATGTGTGGGCCATATAGCCATGTAGTCTGGATTTGAAATCTAATTCTGCCATTTATTAGCTGTGTGCTCTTGTGGGAATACTTTGTCTTGTGTGCCTTTTTTTCATACCTGTCTACAAATAATTTCCTTAACTATACATATTTATACATATATGGACATATATAGATACATAATTATGTATTTGAGTTTAGTTACATATTTTTATGTTTATATAACATACTTTTAGCAAAATAAGCATCATGCTATTTTGTGGTTTAATAGTTTCTCCTGCCATTATGCTTTGAAAACGTTAATGACTACATAGTCATCCACGATGTGAATATACAAAATGTACTTACTACATTCTCTATGGTAGTTTTTTCTCATTTTTATAATTTTAATGTGATAAAGAACATCCTTACTGCTTATTTTTGTGTGTGTGGCTTTCTGCTAATTTTTTAAGGGATAGTTCCTTAAAATGGAATTAATGTGTAAAAGAATGTGAGCTTTTAAAAATATTTTGATAAGACATTACCACATGACTTCCCAGGAAGGTTGTACACTTTTTTTTGTTCTGTTTTTGTGGAGATAGGGTCTGGCTGTATAGTTTAGGCTAACTTTAAACTCACTGTGTAACTTAGGGAGGCCTTGAATTTGCAGTGATCCTCGTATGTCAACCTCTCAAGTGCTAGGATTATAGGCATGTGCCATCACACCCAGCTATTTGTGCATACTTTTCTTTTGTACCAGGAATCAAACTCTGGGCCTTGTACTTGCCAGGCAGGTGTTGCACTGCCGAGCTACGTCCCTGGCCCTGTGCACATTTTAATATAAGAAAGTTTCACTTAGGATTAATCTGATTTGAAATTGGGGCATTACATGTTTATTTTTGTAAACTGATTGTTGATTATACTATTCATTGATTTCATCAAGCATACATTGAATACCTAATGTGTATTAGGGATTTTTTAGGCACAGAGGATAGGGTTATGAACAAATAGATATGGTTTCTAACCTCATAGACTTTTTCTTTTCTTATGTATGGCTGTACCACCCTAAATGCGTCTGGTCTGTCTGATCTTAGAAGCTAAGTAGGGTGGGAGTTTTCCTTTCTATAGTAATCCAGATATTATTTCAGAGTTATCATTGAATAAAGTATTTAGAAGAATGGAAAAATATGCTTTAATGATCTATTTTTGCTATCAGATGTTTTTTTTTCTAAACTATTCAGCCCTTTATACATTTTTCCAGAGATTATGTTCATGTGCTTCTTTCATTTTAAAAATTAACTTTCCTTTTCTCTTTTTCTTTCTTTTCTTTTCTTACTCTGTAGTAGGCATTGAATATTTAGTGCACTTCAGGAAAGTTTAGTATGTCTGGATTATATTTGGAGTCATGTGTGAATAGCAGATAGAATGTTCTTCAGAGTCCCTTCTTATAACTTTGTATTTCTGTAATACTTTATCTGGTTCTGTTTAAATTTCAAATTAAGTGATCTTACTTTAAATTGTATTTACCATATTCACTATTTCATGGGTATTGCCTCTTTAATTCATAAACAGGTTGAATCATTTATTTTGGACCAAGAAGATCTGGATAATCCAGTGCTTAAAACAACATCAGAGATATTCTTATCAAGTACTGCAGAAGGAGCAGATTTGCACACTGTGGATCCAGAGACACAGGCACGACTAGAAGCATTGCTAGAAGCAGCAGGTACTTTGGTTTTTTTCATCTCTTTAAAGTATATATCTCTCTAGAAAGTCACACAAGTTTATCCCAGAGTTGCATAAGATAAAAAATTGGCAATGTCTATAAAATTTATTTCCTACTGAAAATGTTCACATTTTATATTTTTAAAATTCTTGGTTGAAGCTGGATGTAGTGGTGCATACTTGTAATCCCAGCCACTCAGAGGGCTGTGACAGAAGGATCATGAATTCGAGGTCAGTCTGGTCTACTGCAACAAGACCCCTGTTCAAAACAAAACAAAATACTCCAAGAACTGGGTTGAAAGCACTGAGTGATTTCTAGACTCACTTCTAATATTCTTAAGGTGGTAAAGATAATTAACACCAGTTATTAAGGAAAACTTACCAATATCAATATCAGTTACATTATAGAGTAAAAACGTAGATGATATATTTAGGTTGTCAAATTATGACCTCTTAACTCTGCATGTTTATAACTTATTCACTTTAATCTTTGATAACTTAATTATAACTAGTTCTCTTTTACTTGATAAACATTTAAAAATTGAATAAATACTTGCATTAAAATATACCAGGCAGAGGATTTAGGTCTACAGCATAAGTGCCTGTGAGTTTGATCCTTGGTACTAAAAAAAAAAGGAAATAGGTATCCTCTTAAAATATATCAGGCTATATATGATAAATGTGTATATCAGTCACCTGTTTGTGGTTGGGACAAAATGCCTGACATAATGCAGCTTAAAGAAAGGATTTTTTTCATAGTTGAGAGATTTCAGTCAATGGTAGGTTGGCCCCAAGATAAGAGACATTGAAGTAAAGGTGCATGGCAGAGGAGAGCTGTTTATTCTATGGTGGTCAGAAGCAAAGAGAGCAGAAATAGCCAGAAAAAAGATACACTCTTCAAAGGCGTGGCCCTAGTGACCCACTTCTTCAACTCGGCCTGTCTCCGAATAGCCCATTCAGGCACAAACCCAATGGTCTAATTCATTGATAAGGTTAACACCTTCAATACCTGAGTCTTTGAGGGACACTTTGTATTTAAACCATAGCAGTATGCTTTCTCGTAATACATACATACTTTATATTGTACAAAGATTCTTTCACACTGTAATGAAAATCTTTTATTTCTTAAATTTAAAAAGGAGTTTAATTTTTCTAATCTTTATATGTGGCCTTTCCAGTATGTTTACTTTATCTAATACTTCCTTTATTTAATTAATATACTTACATATATTTAAAATAGCTAGAGCTGGATGTGGTGGTGCACACCTGTAATCCTAGCATTCAGGAGGACTGAGACAGGAGGATTGCTATGATTTGAGGCCAGCCTGGGGTACATAGTGAGTTTAAGGCCAGCCTAAACTATATAGTGAGACCTTGACCCCTTCACCTCCAAAAAAATGTTTTATTTTGTTTTGGTATCAGGGATTGAACTCACGACCTTGTGCTTGCCAGGCGGGTGCTTATGCCCCTGAGCTAAATCCCTGGTCCCCCCCAAATTTTAAAATGTATAAAAAATTTCATTCTTTGTACTTTATATTAAAGAGAGGCATTCAGAAACATAGTAACTTTTAATATATTTCATATTGAATGAAGAAAAACTTGTTGGATTTTACCAGTTAATGAGTAGGGAAAAAGCAAGAGAAAAGGAAATTGAGTATTTCAATATTTTTTCTTGGAAAAGCATAGGTATTATGTTAGAAATGTGTTTAATTGCTATCATTTTGTAATCCTCTAACTCTCCTGTTGTGGAAAAGCATAGGTATAGTTTTGTACTAGATCGGCTTTTAGTCATCTATTTCTTTTTGGCACTGATAGAAACTTAAAATTAGACTGAACAACATACTTAAGTATCCAGCAGAAGTCGGTGGTGTAGGAGATTGAACATGCTAGACAAGTGTTGTACCACTGAGCCACACTCCTGACCCCAAAGACTCAAATTAGGACAGGAGTGTAAGGATGAAAGCCATTGGGTGGTCCCTCCTTTTAATCTGGATTTCTTGTTAATTTATTAGTGATTTTTATTTATGTATGGCATAAGATCAGCAATAACAATGCCTTGCCATTCTCTGATTTTTTTTTTTTTCCTGTGCTTTAGAACCTTACATCTTTGCTTAAAGGAAAGAAATGTGAGCCAGGTGTGGTGACTGCACATATGTAATTCCAGCCCGGAGGAACTATGAGGCAGAATTGCAAGTTTTAGCTCTACCTGAGCAACACTGTCTCAAAATTAAAAAAAAAAAAAGACTCAGGATGTAACTCAGTGGTTGAGTGTCTTGGGTTCAGTTCTCAGTACTGGGAAAAGAGAAAGGGGAGAGAGAAGATACAGACATAGATGGGTGGAGGAGGGAGGAAGGGAAGGGAATGTGAAGAGAGAGAGAGGGAGAGAGAAATGTGTTTCTTTTCTTTAGGTCTTCTAGAACTAATTTCTGTTAGCTGCCAAACCCAAATTTATTTACTGGTTATAGTACATCTCTAGTCTGGTTTATGTGACTGACCACTACTCCATGATGACCAATTAATGATTTTAAATTCATTTCTTTCTTTTCATATATCATGATTCTCATTCAGCTTTTGCTCTTCTTCTTGTGCATTAAATATTCTTCCTTTTCTCTTTAACTCTAGAATGCCCTGTTTTTATAACTTAAATTGTTAGAGAAAGAATAAGCTCTGAAAATGATTTTGTGTTACCTAAGAGGTCTCAGGAACCTACTGAATTTTGTTTTGTGTATGTTGACAATTTAAATTTTAGACATCGTTAGATATGATATTGTGTTTTAAAAAATTATCAGATGCATTTAAAAATAATATGTCTCTTTCTAAGACCTGTGCAAGAATTGTTTGAATTTTATGGGGGTTTTTTGTTTGTTTCATTTTTTTTGGTACCAAAAATCAAACTCATGACCTTGTGCTTGCCAGGCAGCTGCTGTGCTGCTGATCTGTATCTCTCTCTCTCTCTCTTTTTTTTTTGTCTTTTTCATTTTTATCGGTACCGGGGATCGAACTCACGACTGCCTGCTTGCAAGGTAGGTGCTTATGCCGCTGAGCTAAATCCCCAGCCCCTGATCTGTAGCTCTTGTGAATTTTATTTTTTTGTTTGTGATGCTGGGGATTAGTCCTGGCCTTACATTTACTAGACAAGTGCTCAACCATTATGCTACACCCCAGTCTACACAGATATATTTTCATAATTAAGAGTTATTTTTAATGTGGCACAGTGGCATATGTCTATAATCCCAGCTACTTGGGAGGCACAGACAAGAAGATTGCAAGTCTAAGATCAGCCCCAGTTCCTAAGGCACTTGTTAAGTATTTTTTTGTATGCTTTAATTTTTTAATCTGCATTTTAGATATTATATTATAGTATTTTAGGGAAATTTTTGAACTCATAAGTTATATATATATTTATAAGATTGTGTAGACATTACTAGCCCTTTTTAATACAGAATTTTTTTTTAAGTACTTGGAATTGAATCTGGGGGTGTTCTTACATTGACCTTTACTTAACCCTGTTTTTAAATTTATTTGAGACACGGTCTTGCTGAGATGCCTAGGTGGAATTTTGCTTTAGCCTCCTTAAATGCTGGGATTATAGACATGTCCCATTGTACCCAACTTCCCTTCCTTTTCCTTTCCTTTCTTTTTCTTTTTTTCCTTTTTTTTTTTGCAGTGCAGGAAGTCAAACCCAGATCCTTGCATATGCTGGGTGAACACTGTCACTGAGCTACATTTTAGCTCATGATAGAATTCTTTTTTTTTTTTCATGATAGAATTCTTGACACCTTAGCTTAAGATGAAGTTTAGAACTTTTTTTTAAGATTCCTTGGGTGATTAACAAGGCCATGTCATATTTTTAATTTTTTTTACTTTAGAAACTTCTAAAATGTAAATATAACATGTATTATAAAATAGTTAAAGCAGTATAAAATATAGTAAGTAGATAAAATAAAAATTTTTTCCCATTCATTGAATATTTCTTCCCAGACAAAGTGTGTTAATCCTTCTCCTTTCAGAAGTTACGAAGTTGCATGGATGTATCACAATCAAGTCTACCAATTTTTTATTGGATGATAAAGTTTATATTCAGTATCATGAATAATGCTGTAGTTTATATCTTTGTATAGTTGTAACTTTTTCTTGTGCAGATATCTATAGACAGATTTCTAGAAAATAGTATCACTGGGTCAAGGAATATTTGCATTTAAAATTTTGATACTTAATGTAAAATGGATTCCCCAAGTTTTTACCAGTACACATTCCTATCAACAGTTTTGGGAAGTTCTCACACCTCACAGAATTTTCTTTGATCAGTTTCTTAGTTAAAAATAATTTTTTAACCATTGTAGTGTGAATTCATTTTATATTATTAGTATATTGTATGGTAGCTCTTTTTTTAAGACAGGGTCTTACTATATAGTTCAGGTGGGCCAGGATGGGTTTGGATCAGTCCTCCTGCCTCAGTCCCTGAGTGCTGAGATTATGGCATGCATCAACACCAGCTCTGTGGTAGCTCTTTGTAAATTATGATGTAAATTCACTGGATGTTAGATACATGACTTTTAAATTTTTCTAAGTTTATTTGTGGTATCTATAAAAGTGAACTTAATTTAAAATGTTTCCCCAGAAGATGATTCTATGTGAATATTTGACCTAAGGGAAAAAACAGATTGTTGTAATAAACTACTGAATATACCCTTCATTACTATTGAAAATAGTACAGATATCTAGCCACTGCTAGAGGTCTTATGGTGTGACTTTACTTTGAATGAATATGATATTTTGAAGCATCATTAAATTACATTGGAATTAGGGAAAGGACAATTTTATATATATATATATATAATATTTATATAATAGAAACATATTATACATATTTATATATATATAATAGAAACGTTAAAACATCAGTGCTTATGCAATGGTCAATATTATTGGCAGAATAGGAATTACCACTCTTACCTCTGTCAGTCTTATCTATGGGGACACTTATCTATCTTTTTGTAGATAAGTGTTTAGAAATGTAATTATAATTTCCACCTTATATTTTTTCTTTCTCTGCACTACCTGACTGACACATGCTGAAGGAATTGGCAAACTGTCAACCCCTGATGGTAAAGCTTTTGCAGATCCTGAAGTACTTCGGAGACTGACTTCCTCAGTTAGTTGTGCCCTGGATGAAGCTGCTGCTGCACTGACACGAATGAGAGCAGAAAATAGCCACAATGCAGGACAAGTGGACACGTATGTGTTTAATGATGTCTGCTAGTTATTAGACATTTTTTTGAGTGAATTTTGGGGAGGTAGCCCATTTTGGTTCGATGTGTCTTTTAAAAAAACATAAACAGGGTCCAGGGATTTAGATCAGTGGCTCGAGTACTTGCCTAGTAAGCGTGAGGTCATGAGTTCAATCCCTGGTACCCAATAAAAAGAATAAAAAAGCATAAACATTAGCCAAATAGATAATAGAATGAATATTAAGTTTGTAAGTGGATATGTAAGTAAATACATCTATGTTACTTAGATACAAAAGTTGCTATTTTAATTCTTGTATGCAACTCTTCTCAAGCATTCTTGTGAAATGTCATATACTAGAGTCTATGAGAAATCCAATCTGAGTGAGACCTAGTTTCTTTTTTTGTTTTTGGTTTTTTGAGGCATAACCCTGCTATGTAGGGTAGGCTGGCCTTGAACTCATGGCAAATCCTTTTTTCTCAGCCTCCTGTGTGTTGGGATTTATAGGCATGCAGGACCATGCCTGGTAAGACCTAGTTTCTACTTCTAAAAGAAGTTACTTATTCTGAATTTTATATTAGTAAACCCTAAACTGACGGAGTAGTAATAAATGAAATGGGCCACTAATGCAGTAGACAGATATTGTCCTTGGATCTAGCACTACCCACCATTGCATCTGAACTTGTTTAAAAAAACAGAACCTTGGGCTCTGCGCCAGATGTACTGAACTGCTGTCTGCATTTTAACGAGAAATGTGGGTGATTGGTATACATATTAAAGTTCAAGATTCACTGACCTACTTAGCTACTTTACAGCAAAATTGGATTGTTAGATTTTTACCTTTGCAGTTACCAAGTAAGATTTTCAGCCTAGGAACATATACCAAAATGTCTTTGAATATTATTAGTAGAGTTTAAAACTTGGCATCTAATACTTCAAGAGAATTTATTTAAAATGTGTTATAATATATTAGATTTAGGAAGGTAAAATGACAGATATGAAAAAAAAATGACCGCTATTTTCAAATTCACTTTTTGCCATGATTGTCATACATGAATAATTAAGAAGTGCAGAAAAGATGCTCAGCAAATAAAGTTTTTGTACAGTTCTTTCTCCTACTGTATCAACATTTTTCTACATATGATTCTTTATATTTAATTAATTTCTTATCAAAGGCTCTTCGTGTCAGTTAATTGTTGAATGGTTTTGTTTTTAGTCGCAGTCTAGCAGAAGCTTGTTCAGATGGAGATGTTAATGCTGTTCGTAAATTGCTAGATGAAGGCAGAAGTGTAAATGAACATACAGAAGAAGGAGAAAGCCTGCTGTGCTTGGCTTGTTCAGCAGGGTATTATGAATTAGCACAAGTAAGCAAAACATCTTTAGTGAGTAAAATTGTGGAAGGGTTTTGATGTTTACTTTTACTTATAAATAAAAAAAGACACAGTTTATTTTATTGCCTGTAATGCAACTGGACATGGTTTATTGTTCTGTTACTTACTTAAAGCTAATCCTGATGAAGGATTAAACTTGTCTTTGGAAATAATAAACAGCTGTAATGGAAAGTAGTAGGTTATTTTTTTGCATCCAGGTTGCCCCAGTTCTTTTATTTTTATTTTCTTTTTTAGACCAATATTGGGAAGATTGGACCAGCCCAGTTTAATACTAAACTACATCCCCTGCCCTTTTTATGTTTTATTTTGGGTCAAGACTTGAATTTGTAATCTTGCCTCAGCCTCATAGCTGCTGGGATTATTGTAAGCGTGTATCACTGTACCCAGTGGAAAGTAACCGTATTTTTATCAGTTAGTTTTTGTCTTGTGAATATAGTTTTTATGTTCCCTTGCTAGATAATGTCAAGCATGACACATTTTTTTAGACAAGGACTGTGATACTTTATAATAGGATGGCTAATGATACTACTTTACTCAAAGATGAATGATGCATATGGACAACTGTAGAATATGATCTAGTGTTATCAGCATTGAAAATTGGCATATTTAGTTGGTCTACAGGTTGTGGGTTATTATTAAACTGAAAATTGACGTATTTTCTCTAAGTTGATTACTTTTGATTTTTTTTCCGTCACTCCTACTATAAAATATCTTAAGATTCAGTACGTTCTCTAGAAATGCCGTAATGGTAAGAATTGACAATTTTTTTGTCTGTATGTATTTTAAAGGTATTGCTAGCTATGCATGCTAATGTTGAAGATCGAGGGAATAAAGGAGACATAACTCCTCTGATGGCAGCTTCCAGTGGAGGTTATTTAGATATTGTGAAATTATTACTTCTTCATGATGCAGATGTGAACTCCCAGTCTGCAACAGGTGTGTAGATGAAATTATGAATCTGTTTCCTATTATTCTTTATTTCATGTAAGTATAACTCCTTTGACTTTATTTTTTTTTTTGGTAATGTGATTTGAAGTTAGGGTCTTGTACATGCTTGGTACTCTGCAATTGTGACATAGCCCAAGTTCTAACTTCCTTGAGTTTAGAAGATAGAGTAACCTAAGAATGTTTATAGGGTTTTTCATTTGAGTGGGCTTAATACATTTATTAATAAGATATTCTTGTGTTGTATGAGTCACCTTATAAGGACTGCTCTTTTATTTATGCATCATAAACTCATACATAGAAGCAATCTTCTATGTATGGTTGTGTGTCTTGAATTAAAGATTTGGAATGAGTTTCTTTGGATTTAACTTGAGTGCTATGAGATAACCTCATGATTTTTAAAATGTATGTGATTGAAAGTATATCAGTTTTCCATATTATTAAAATAAATGTTAAATTCAGCTTAATTTATTTAATTTATTTATTTAGTATTAGGGATCAAACTCATGACCTTACACTTGCCAGGCAGGTGCTTATGCCACTGAGTTAAATCCCCTTATTTATTTTTAAAATGAATAAGACTCTTGAAAGAACTGTATATCATTTTGCTATTTTGTTTTTACTGTAGTAATGTTAACTTACATAATATCTGAGAGGGCTGAACAATGAATTCTGAACAGACTGAGTTCTAAAATAATAGTTTTCTTTTTATTTTTGAGACAGTGTCTCACTGTATAGTTCTGGCTGGTCTTAAACTCGCTATGTCGCCCAGGTTTACCAAAACCTACAGAAGGGGTTCAGGTCTTCCATCTGGCAATATGACGTATAAATTAAAAGAAAGCCAAAGAGAAAATATTCTGTAGTTGTGGAGCTCTGTGATGACCAATGTTTTCTGTGCAAGAAAAGACCATGAGCCCAAAAGCTCATGGTCTTTATTGATATCAATCAGGGAGGTAGTTGGAGGTCCTGACAGAGTGCTAGGGAAAAGAAACCTTGCAGGTATTGACTGTAAGGAGAAACAGCAATTTTGTATGAGGTACAAAGGCTCTCCAGTTAGCAATGCAATGGACAATTTGATAAATGCAAGGTGGCACCTTTATTGCCAGGAAGATATAATTCTTATTGAGTCCCATGGCCTTAGCAGAGATGTTATTCTTATGTCTTAGCCCTGGGTTCTCCAGCTCCCATTTCAGCCATCAGCAAGGGTTGCATATCTCACCCATGAGTTGCAGTGAGGTAAATTGGCATCTCAGCCATACTCAGTCACATTCTTTTAGCCAATTAAGGAAACATCTGTTTCAGGATAGTCAGCTTTGCATATCTCAGTGAGTAGGGTTGAAGGAGAGGCCAGGGAAAGGCAAGGGAAGGGTCTTTGTTTCTCAGCAGAGTGCAGCTTGTTGGTGTCCCACACAGGTTGGCCTTAAACTTGCAGTGACCCTGCTGTCTCAGCCTTCTAAGTGTTAGGATTATAGGTGTGTGCCACCATGCCCAGATAATAGTTTTTTTTTTTAAACTGAACCTTTGAAAGTTCTTCCTGAGGCCCTTAGTATTAGGTAATTAAATCATCTCCATACCCTCTGTAATAAAAATCTGTAAACCATGTCAGGAAAGAAATAGCTGGCAGATCAAAGGATAATCTTTTTTTTTTTTTAATTTTTTTTTTGTCTTTTTTCTTTTTATCGGTACTAGGGATCAAACTCATGACTGCCTGCTTGCAAGGCAGGCGCTTATGCTGCTGAGCTAAATCTCCAGCCCCTCAAAGGATAATCTTTTAAAGAAATACTTCTTTTGAATGAGTTATGCTAAGGGGGATATATACTTGTCTTGCTGGGTTGTGTTGTAAGTATAGGTTAAATATATATGTCAGGATGATACATGCCTAAAACAATGAGTGATCTTATGAATAAATTTGTAAAGATAAAAGAGAAGCTAAAAAAGTTAAGAAACGAATGTGCATCACAAAGTATTGAATGTTTCTAAAGTGCCCCTGGGTTCTATCCTAAAGAAAAACACCAAAAGTAATTTTTTTTTTAAAGCGGTACCAGGGATCGAACTCACGACCCCCTGTTTGCAAGGCAGGTGCTTATGCCGCTGAGCTAAACCTCCAGCCCCCCAAAAGTAATTTTAAAAAAATGATGCTTAAAATATTTGATAAAGGCCAGGGGTATAACTCAATGGCATAAGTGCCTGCCTGGCAAGTACAAGGTCCTGAGTTTGATTCCTGGCACCAAAAATAAAAAGGAAGTTTTTTGATAAGTTGAAAAACATTTGAAAATAAGTAAAATAGCCTGAGCATAATAAACTCTTCTTAGAATATATTTTTGTTCTTCAACAAATTTTTTTTTTTTTTTGGTCTTTTTCGTTTTTATCGGTACCAGGGATCGAACTCACGACTGCCTGCTTGCAAGCAGGTACTTATGCCACTGAGCTAAATCCCCAGCCCCTCTTCAACAAATATTTAACACATTAAGGAAATTATGTTTATAATATTAGGGGTTATACATTTATTGAAGAATCATACATACTCATTAAGAACTTATAATTTTCAAAGTACTCAAAGTAGCCAGGTGTGGTGGTGCACCTCTGTAATTCCAGTGCTTGGGAGGCTGAGGCAAGAGGATCATTGCAAGTTCGAGACCCCCTGGGCCACAAAGTGAGCCAAGGCTAGCTGGAACTACATAGTGAGACCCTGTCTCAAAAAGATCACCAAAAAAATAAATAAATAAATAAAAACCAAAACCCCAAAGTACTCAAACTAATTTTTTATTTGTCACTCTGGACTAGGTCAGTTGGTCATACATGAAGATAATCTCTTAATCTTCAAGCAAGTCACCAACTATTCAAACAATACCGAATAATATACATATAATAGTAATACCAGCGTGGGAGGCTGAGACAGAGGAATTGTTGCCAGTTTGAGACTAATCTAAGCTAAGTAGTGAGTTCATAACCTGGTGTGAGGCCCTATCTCAAAAAAACAACAAAAGGATAAAAATATAGGTTTCCAGGAATCATCTTCTATACTCCAGAGTAGGCAATCCAGAGAGAGACTTGGGCTGAAAATGATAGTTTTCCACTTCAGCTCTGTTGAGGGATGGGCTCATCATTCTAGTCACTTGCTTTCACTTACTGGTTTTTGTTTGATGTCAAATATGCTTTCTCTCGTGTATGAATCCTATTGACCTATTTCAAGCGTAGTCCAAATATAACTATTGCCTGTTTTTAAAAAGAAACAGTAATATCCCAGCTTTATTTAGATATAACTCACATACCCATAAAATCCACTTGTTACTTTTAGATTTGTAGAGTTGTACAATCATCAATACAGTCTAATTTTAGAACATGTATTTCTATCATTACTGAAAGATCCCTATCCCTATTTATAGTCAGCTGAATTTCAGGCAATCAGTAGGCTATTTTTGTCTGTATAGATTTCCCTTTTCTCAACATTTTATATTATGCAGATATTTATAGTGCATGGTCTTTTTTTTTCTTTTTTCTTTTTTTTTTATGATCTGTTTTAATTTTGAGACAAGGTCTCTTTATGTAGTTCAGGTTGGCCATGAACTCATGGCAGTCTTTTTGCCTCAACCTCCCAAGAGCTGGGATTACAAGCATGTATCACCATGTCTGGCGGTATGTGGTCTTCTTGCATTCGACTTTTTAGAAGAATCTTTTAACTAGTGAGAATATTACGATAATGTTTGTAATCAATGACAACAAAAAATTTGAAATGGTACTTATAGTTGTTCTAGGGTAATTGAAAAAGTATAATTAATAGTAGTAGCATTGTCATAATCATAACTTTTATGTCCTAATTTTGTATTCTTTTTGTTCTTTGTTAGGAAACACTGCACTAACTTATGCTTGTGCTGGAGGATTTGTTGACATTGTGAAAGTGCTACTTAATGAAGGTGCAAATATAGAAGATCATAATGAAAATGGGCATACCCCCTTAATGGAAGCAGCCAGTGCAGGTCATGTGGAAGTTGCAAGAGTTCTTCTAGATCATGGTGCAGGCATCAATACTCATTCTAATGAATTCAAAGAAAGTGCTCTTACACTTGCATGTTATAAAGGTACTCTATACATATGAATATTTATACTTTTTTCACAACAACTTTGAATATTGAGGATTTGAATTTAACTTTATATTGTTTTCCCTGTGCTATAAAATTATCTAGTTTATAAAAGAATGTATAGAAAGCCCATTTTAGCCTGTATTTCCTATCATATACTTTCCCAATGTGTTTCTTTATTGTATCAATTCAGGTTTATGCAGTTAATTATGAAGTCAACTAAACTACCTAGTACAGGTTTAGAGAGTTTCCATTATTTAATGACTTTTGTTTTATATGATTTTTCTTTTAAAAAATACACAAAAATGCTAATACACACCTGATACAGAAAACCTGAAAAATATGGAATATTTCAAAGAAATTTTAAAAGGACACGTAATGCCACATCTAAAAGTTAAAAAAAAAAAACAAAAAAAACTTCTAAACATTCTACAGTATGCATATTTCCAGTGTTTTTAAGTTTGTTTATAAACAAATACATGTATTAAATAAAACAACCATACTCTAACACTGTTTTTATAGTTGGGTTATTTTAGTTAGCATGAACACTTTCCCATTTTAGACAATGTCCTAGCAACACAACTTTTGATGATCCCACATGCAATGTGATCAAAATGTATGGTGAACAGCTAAAAATTTATTACAGTAAAAGACATGTGTTGCATTAATTCATCTGAAAATACTTCCTCTCTTGGAACACACTTATCATAGTTCTGAAGTCTTCTCATAAGTGTCTTTAAAGAGGTGTAACCTAACATACGGTAAATACTGCTGCCAAATTTAGTTTAGTGAAAGGATGGGTTTATAAAAGCTTGGTGTATCTCCATCCACCTTATTCACTGAATCTGGCATAGTGTACTTATTGTTCTTTCCCAAAGTTACAGTGACCATGAAAAGTAAGTTTTGAATCAATTCTGGACACTGAAGAGCCATGGTAGTGTAACTACAGTCACTGATGAAAGAGGATTTCCTGAACTGCTTCACAAAGTGGCTAGAACAATGGAATAAGTATGTTCCAAGTGAGAGGAGTATTTTAAGGGGAATAATGGCAATCTCTTTTACTGTGGTGTATTTTAAATGTAAGTATTCACCATATTTTTTGATTATATGGTGTGTAACTTACTGGGCTACACATGGCTACAGGGTTTTTTTATTAAGCATGTTGGCACCACGATAAACAAGTTCTATGATCAACGAAGAATAAGAATGGATATTGGGTAGGGAATTAACAGCTTCTGCCAAATACACCATAATTGACTATTGTTCGACACTTGCATTGTTCCCAGTTTTTCACTATTATTAAAAACACTGTGATAACATCCTTGTGCAGACATTTTTGCCTAATCTCTGATTATTTCCTTAGGATAAATTCCTGGAAGTGGAATTGCTGGGTCAAAGGGTATGGACATTTTTAAGGCTTTTGATACATATTGCCAAATTGCCTTCTAGAAAGGTTGAACCAATTTACACTCCCACCAGCAGTGTTTGAGAGTGCCCTTTACCCCACCCTACACCCTCACCAACACTGGGTATTATCATTCTTTTTAATATTTACCATTTTGATAGTGTAAAAAATGGTGTCTTTTAATTTATATTTCTTTAGTAGGAAGGTTAAATATCTTTTTCATCAATTTAATATTCATTTATATTTCTTTTTTGAATTACCATTTCATATCCTTCACCCATTTTTCTAGTGAAGTGTTTGTCCTTTTCTTACTGACTATTAAGGCTTTTTATGTAATAACTGTATCAGGAGGAATGGAATTATTTTAAGTGGGGTTTTCTGTGCCTGCTTACTTGCCACAGTGAGTTTATGGTTATTTTAAAGCTGTTCTAGAAAATATGATCTAAAGATACTTTACCTACTTTACCTGGCTTTCTATTTAATTGCAGTGTTTTTATGTGATTATTGCTTATATAGATTAAATCAAAGAATAAGCATTCTTGCTTTTACCTAACTAAAATTATGTGCTTTGGACCAGTTCAGTCTTTAAAACGTAGACAGTAAGATCCTAATGAGAGCTTGCTTGTTGTTTGGGGTTGGCTTTGTAGAGCTGTCACTGACTTTTATTGAATTCAAAATAAGTTCTCAGAAATTGTGCATAGACATCTGAAAGATAAATACTCATTGTAATACTTACCTTTTAAATTGATAGTGAATTCCTTCTTTTTTTTCCAAAGGCCATTTGGATATGGTTCGCTTTCTCCTTGAAGCTGGTGCAGATCAAGAGCACAAAACAGATGAAATGCACACTGCATTAATGGAGGCTTGCATGGTAATTTTAATTGCATCACTTGAAATTTTATGAGAAGAAAAACTCATATGTTTTTAAGCCTTTGAAAATAATTAGTTGGTGTTTAGTTTGTGCAGTTTCTTTTCTTTTCCCTCCTTCCTCCCCGCCCCCCTTCTTTCTTTTTTTTCTGATACTGGGAACTTGGGACCTTGCACTTGCCAGTCAGGCACCTGTGCCACTGAACTACATCCATGGCCCTGATTTGTGTAAATTCTTAACCCATTTCTGAATTAAACACTGGTAATGCTTGATCACCTGTGCTGTGGAAGAAGTTAGTACTATATAACTGTAATATATTTGGCTTTAGAGATATTGATAAACCTAATTTTGGAGATGGTAGGACATGTTTCTAATATTTTTATAGCTTTATATTACAATTTTATGAAGTAAACTGACCTGGAAATATGCTCTGGATATTAAGATATATATTTTGGGGCCGGGGCTTTAGCTCCTGTACAAGGAACTGTGTGGCGAGTACGAGATCGTGAGTTTGATTCTCAGTACCCACCCCCAAAAAAGATACATACTTTGGATTCTCTGGATAACCCATAAAGTATTTAATTGTTTCTTCTTAGGATAAGGATCTAGAATTTTAATTCAAACATTTTCTGTCAAAGAGAATAATCAGTTTTAATGTTGTCAATACAGAAACCATTTTTCTTTTTCCATAAGCCCATAGTTACCACACATATATTGTATCCATAAAGAATACATCAAATACAAAGATTCAAAGTGTTCTGAGATTTTATAAAAGCTTTACTATTTAGAAATTACCTGGAAAACTACAAATATTTTTGTGATATAGGTAAATAAACTCATCATTACCTATGTTAATTGCTGTTTTATTCTTTTGAGAAAGGGTCTGAGTTTCCCCATCTGGGCTTGAACTTGCTATCCACCTGCCCATTTTCTAGACTGTTGAGAATATAACTGGGTGCTACCATACCCAGCTTAATTCCTGTTTTTTCTTTTGCGTGTGTATTTATGTCTACTTCTGTGTTACAGATGACCTGAGTCTAATGGCTAAATACAATAGCAATAGCAATACAGTTGTCACATATTAATTTATGTTTCCATGGGTCAATTGGAAGTTTCTTCTATTGTATCTCTTAGTGGGAGACGGTTTCTTGTGTAGTTGCCATCAGGTAGTTGCTGGATGGTATTTCTAGATGGCTTAATTCCTATGTCTGGAACCTTAATGAAGATAGCCGAAAGGCTAAGACCCCTCCCTCTTCGTGAGTAGTCTTTAACTGTGGATTTCTTTGACTTCACTAAAGTGAGAACTGATCTCAAGGTTAGCATTCCAAGAGAGAAACAGAACTAGCACAGCAACATTTCAAATATAGTCGTGGGCACCAGATTTAAGAGATGGAAATGGGAATAAAGTTCATCTCCTGATGAGGTGGTATGTAAAGAATTTGCAGGCATCTTTGCCCATCTCCTAAGAAATTTTGTTACTTTCTTAATATAAAATATTCTCAAAAAATGTTTTTTTTTTTTTTTTTTTTTTTAAACATAGCCCTTTTATTATTGCCCTCTCAAAGACATAATCAGATTTTTTTTTTTTTTGTCTTTTTCCTTTTTATCAGTGCCGGGAATCGAACTCATGACTGCCTGCTTGCAAGGCAGGCGCTTATGCTGCTGAGCTAATGTAATCGTATTTCAGAGTAATTAGTAAGTGTTCATTGTAGGACAAAAAATCTGAGCCAACAATCCATACAAACACAGTAGCAGTTGGGAGATTTAATACATTTGTTTTAATTATTTGCCTCAATAATTATTTGATTACAAAGTAAATCAGAATTTTTAATATATTTATTTTGGTCTTTTGAAGATAGGGTCTGATTATATAGTTCAGGTTAAGCTTGAACTCATTATGTAATACAGTCTGGCCTCAGACTGATCATCCTCTTTGGCTCATAATCCCTGAATGCTGGGATTATAAGCATATGCTATTATGTGCAACTAGAAAGTACTGTATACTATTTTTCAGATTGGTATAATTTTCATATAGTAAGCTGCCAAGTATATTTACATTTGAAATCTTATAAATTTGTATATAAATACACCTGTGTCACAGCCAGATCAAGATGTTTATCAGTCCAGAAGGGTCACTTTCACTTTATACAAGATTAATCACCATTCTACCATTTGTCATCATGAATTACTTTTTATAATTTTGAACTTCATATAAATAGCATAATACAGAAAGTATTCTTTTGTGTCTCACTTCTTTCAGCATTATGCATTTGTGATTACTCATTTTATTTCACTTGATAGTAATTTGCTTTTCATTTTTGTAAGTATTTCACTGCATAAATATGCCTCTTAATAAATCCAGTCTGTCATGATGAACACTGGTGTTTCTAGACTATTTAGAATAAAGCTACTATGAGTATTCTTATGTCTTTTGATTGATGTAAAGGATCATTGCTTTTGTGTAATTTTTTATTTTTTGGTACTGGGGATCGAACTCATGACTTTGTGCTTGCTAGGCAGGTACTTATGCCACTGAGCTAAATCCCCAACCTCTTGGGTATATAATTAAAGAGTAAAATTTCTGGATGTGAAGACATGATAATAGTTTCTCTCTCTCTCTCTCTCTCTCTCTCTCTCTCTCTCTCTCTCTTTCTCTCTTTTTGTACTGGACATGAACCCAGGGCCTTCACACTGAGCTATAGTTTCAACCCTTTTTATAAAACAAGGTCTCAATAAGTCTTTAAATTGTTCAGGCTGGACTTGAACCTCCTGTCTCAGCCTCCTGAGAGTGCTGGGGTTATAGATGTGTGCCACGTGACCAGCTATAATTCTTTTTAAAGTCTATTCAGATTTTCTATTTTTGTGATCAGTTTTAATAGTTTGTCCTTCTAGAAATTTAACCATTTTATCTAGCTTCTTTGATTTGTTGATATACAGTTGTTCATAGTATTCTCTTATAATCCATCTTATTTCTATAATAATATCCCCTTTCATTCCTGGCATTAGTAGTTTATGTCTGTTTTTCTTTGTCAGTCTAAGGTTTCATCAACAGTTTATACAAAGGGTTAATTTTTAGTTTTTAGGTTTTTCTATACTTAATTTCATTATATTTTTATTTCTTCCATTTCTAACTCTTGAGATAGGATTATTGGCTTGTGACATTTCCTGTTCTCATTTTATGCATTTCGTGCTATAAATTTCCCTCCCTGAGTGCTTTAGTTGTATCCTACAAGTTTTAATATGTTGTACTGTTATTTTCATTCTGTTAAATTGTTGATTTATTTCTAACAGTTTTTCTTAAAATTTAGACTCATGGTTATTTGCTTATTTCTAGTTTTTAAATTTTTGAAGATATTTCCAGTTTGGTTCCATTGTTAACAGAGAACATACTTTGAATGATTTTAGTTCTTCTAGACTTTTTTTTTTAAAATTTTATTTTAAAGAGGATAAAATTAAACAGAACAGATTTAAGAAAACAATGTAAGAGACACAGATTTCAAAGCAAGACAACCGGAGATCTTCACTGTCTATCACATTGTTTCTTGTTTTCTTCCAAATAGTTGTCTGTATCTTCACATACAATGAATTCATACAAAAAAAAAGTAGTATAAAACTAATCAGAACAGGATGAGGCATTTTAAGTCTTCAAGGCCAGACAATAGAGAAGTCAACAATGGCTGCCATAATGTCTCTCATTCTCTTCAAAATAGCTGTCCATACCTTCACGTATGTTGAAATTAAACAAAACAAAACAGACTAAAATCACTCTAAACAAAGAATAATAGTATTGCTGGATTTCACATCATGATGCTATGGAATCAGCACTGGATACCTTAGTGTCTCTTTTTCTTCAAAGTAGCTGTTCATTTTGTCATGCATTATATAATTGATTCTCATAAACAGTTGAGAAGTTCTACGTATGCATGAGTCTCTGCATGTATACCTATTCTTTCTGTATTAGAGGGAAAAACAAAACAAATTCCTAGAAAAACACGAAATGAAAAAGACATAACAATAACAAGGAGCCCAGAACACTGACAATATAGGCCTTCAAAACAAGGTGGTATTAGCATAACTAGGGTTGTTATTTTACGTAATGATCTTCCAGAGTTCCTCAGATCACCACACAATAATATGCACAATTTTTCCAATCCTATGAATGTTAACTATTTTGTTCCAAGAACTTATAGAATTTGTAGCACAATCATCTTAGCTATCCTAAGTGTGCTTATATAATTTTAGATACTTTTTCTTTTCCCTTCCTTTTACTTTTTCCTCATTTCCCCTGAGGTGTTATTTTTCCCCTTTAAGCAGATTCTTGTCCTTTCACTATACTTACTGAGTTTTTTTTTTTTTTTTCCCTTTTTTCCGGTACCAGGGATCAAACTCATGACCGCCTGCTTGCAAGGCAGGTGCTTATGCCACTGAGCTAAATCCCCAGCCCTGTTATTGAGTTTTTTTGATGTGAGTCGTATAGTGTAAGAAATGCTAAGAGTACATAAGATACATGTATTTACACATGTGAGTTTGATTTATTTCACTTACGAGTATGGTCTTAAATTGCATCCATTTACTTATAAATACGTCAATGTGATCATTCTTTATAGCAGAGTAGTACTCCATTGTATAAAAATACCACATCTTTTTTATCTATTCCTCAATTGATAGGCATTTAGATTGTTTCCAAGATCTGGCTATTACAAATTGTGCTGCTATAAACATGGGTGCACATATATTACTGTGGTATGATGTTTTCAGTTCTTCTGGGAATATGCCCAGAAGTGGAATAGCTGGGTCAAATGAGATCTCCAATCCCAGCTTTTTTTTTTTTTTTTGGTACCGGAGATCAAACTCATGACCTCACGCTTGCCAGGCAGGCGCTTAAGCCCCTGAGCTAAATCCCCAACCCTAACTCAGCTTTTTGAGGAATCTCCAGACTGACCACCAAAGTGATTACACCAGTCTACACTCCCACCAACAGTGCAGAAGAGCTCCTTTTTCACGTAGCCTCTCCAGCATTTGTTGTTGGTAGTTTTCTTTATCCTGGCCATTTTTTTCTGGAGTGAAATGGAACCTCAATGCTGTTTTGATTTGCATTTCTCTTAATGACAAATGATGCTGAACATTTTTTCATGTATTTATTTGCCATTTGTATTTCTTCATCTGAGAACTGTTCATCTCCAATGCCCATTTTTGGAATGGATCTTTTGAATTTTGGGGATCTGATTGGTTTTTTTTAATTCTTTATATGTTCTGGACAAAAGCCATTTGTCTGAGGGATAGTTCACTAAGATTTTTTTCCCAATTTGTGAGTTTTCTTTTCACTATGTAGATTTTTTTTGACGTGCAAAAACTCGTTTAGTTGTTGATTCTGTGAAGTATTTCGCATGCAGTTTGATTCTTGTTCATGAATTCTCTACCTACCCCTATGTTTTCAAGATTTCTACCTACTTTGTCTTCCAACAAATTTAGTGTTTCTGTTTTAATATTTAGATCTTTGATCCATTTAGACTTTAGTGCATGGTGATAGGCATGTTTTAGTTTTAGTTTTAGTCTAGTTTTAGTTTTAGTTTTTAGCATATGGAAAGCCAATTTTTCCAGCACCATTTATTGAAGAGACTTATCTTTCTTCCAGTGGACATATTTGGCCCCTTTATCAAAGATAAAGGTGGCTGAGTGTTTGTAGTTGTAGCTATGTCTTCTAACCTGTTCCACTGATCTTCAAGTCAGTTTTTATTTCAGTACCATGCTGATTTTATTACAGTAGCTTTGTAGTATAACTTCAAGTCAGGGATTGTGATGTCTCCTGCCTTGCCTTTGTTGCTTAGAATTGCCTTTGCAATTTTAGGTCTCTTCTGGTTCCAGATGAATTTTAGGAGTGATTTCTCTAGATCTGTGAGGTATGCTAGTGGCATTTTGATTGGGATTGCATTAAATCTGTATAACAATTTTGGGAGAATGGCCATTTTCATAATGTTTGTACTTCCTATCCATGAACAAGTAATGTCTTTCCATTTTCTGAGGTCCTCTTCGATTTCTTTTTTCAGGATATTATAATTTTCTCTGAATAGATCTTTTGCTTCTTTTGTTAGATTAATTCCTAAGTATTTCATTTTGTTGGATGCTATTGTAAAGAATGTGGCTTCTCTTATTTCTCAGTGGTTTTGTTGTTGGTGTATAGGAATGCTATTGATTTTTGAGTGTTGAGTTTGTAGCTAGCTACATTACTGAATTTATTTATTATGCCTAGGAGTCTTTCAATGGAGTGTTTGGGGTCTTCCATGTAGAGTATCATGTCATTTGCAAATAATGATAATTTAGCTTCTTCTTTTCCTATCTTTACTCCTTTTATTTCTCTCTTGGGTAGTGGCGCTGGCTAGTATTTCCAGCACCCTATTGAGTAGGAGTGGTGATAATGGACATCCTTGTCTTGTTCCTGATTTTAGAATAAAGGCTTTCAGTTTTCTGCCATTTAATATGATGCTGGCTGTTGGTTTGTCATAGATGGCTTTTATCATATTGAGGTAAAGACCATTTATTCCAATTTTCTGTAAGGTTTTTATCATGAATAAGTGTTGGACCTTATCAAAAGCTTTTTCTGCATCTATAGAAATGATCATATGGTTCTTATTTTTTATTCTATTGATATCATTGGTCTTCTAGACTTTCAAGGATTATTTTATGACTTACTGGTGGTTATATATGCTGTTGGTACTTGGAAAGGATGTATATTCTACTGTTGTTGAGTAGAGTGTTCTTTGAATGTCAGTTTCTTCCGGTTAATTGTTAGTGTAATACTGTCCTTTCTCATTTTGTCTAGTTGTTGTAATAATTGTTGGGAGACATACTAAAATCTTCAAGTGTAACTATGGATTTGTCTGTTTCTTCTGCCTTGATTCACATTTTTTTGTGTTTTCATGATACATGCACATTTTTAGTAATGCTATGTCTTTTGGGGGGATTGACCTTTTCATTATTGTACTATATAATTCTGTTGTCTCTGGTAATTTTCTTTGCTTTGAGGGCTTCTTTATTTCATATTACTATAACTGTTCTGCTTTGCTTTGATTATTGCTGCCTGGTACATTTTTTATTAATTTCTTTCAATCTACCTATTTCATTATATTGAATTGTGAGTTTTTTATAGATAGCAGATATTTGGGTCATGTTTTATAATCTATTTTAATCTTTTTTTTAACCATTGATGTAGTTAGCCCATTTACATTTACTGTAATTATTGGTACTGTGTCTTACATTCTGATTTTGTGTTATTTCATTGATTTCTTGCATTTCTCCTCCTTTTTTTGATATATCATGAATAATAATCTTAGGGCTTTTTTCTGCAAACTACTAGATTTGATTCACTCTTGGGATTGTTGTGTGTGGGTGTGTATGGGTGTGCATATACGCCTGTACATGTGTGTGCTAGGAATTGAAACCAGGGCCTTCACACTGAACTACATCCCTAGTCCTTTATCTTTTTTGTATTTTGAGAACAGTGTCTCTTACAAAACCTCAAAACTGCTCAGGCTGGTCTCAAACTTGTGATTCTCCTACCTCAGCATCCTGGAGTGCTAGGATTACAAGGTGCACGCTACCATGCCCAATTTGGGACTATTTATTCTTTTTCTTTTGTGTGTATGTATGTACATGTGTATGTGTGTGTTTGTATGTGTGTCTTGATTACAAGTCACTTTTCCTATCTGTTAATTTGTCTAGTAATTTTTTTTTTAATCGGTACCAGGGATCGAACTTTCGACCACCTGCTTGCAAAGGAGGTGCTTATGCCGCTGAGCTAAATCCCCAGCCCCATTGTCTAGTAATTTTTATATTGTAAACCATTCATTGTGATAGCTTTTGGAGGCTCTATATTATGTTCCCTTAAAGACTGATAGCTAGGCTTAGTGTTGTGTGCTTTTTATTTAGAGCTACTTGTAAGGCTAAGATAGGAAAATCAGAGATTAAGGGTAGCCTGAGCAATACAATGAGATCACTGGATGAGGTAGGGAAAGGAGACTAAAAAGCAGTTGAATTGTTAGTGGATCACTTTGATCCTGCTGCAGCTTGATTTTTATGTTATTCCTACCGTACAGTATTTAGTGTTTGAGGATTAATTTGCCATGTCAACAAGAGCCTGGGATATTCACCATAGTCTGTTCTTTTTTGGCTGACCCTGAATTCCCAATGTCTCCAGTCTTTCAGAGATTATTTTTTACTAGTCATTCTGGAGTCTTACCTTACTATGCTCAATTCATGAGTTGCCAAAGTAAAGAGAATTTTATGTAATTTTTGGGACACTTTTCTTTGTTTTCTTTTTCTCCGAGTTGTAAGTATCTCAAATACTGCATATTTTATTTTTATTTTTTTTCCTGTTCTCAGTGGAATGTTTGTATTCCATTTAGGTTTTATTTCCCTTGGTCAGTTTGGAAGACACAGGGAAGAAAGCTGAGTAAATGTAGGTTTTATCTCAAGTGCTTCTTTGTTTTACTGATCGTAGCCTTAGCTTGATTGTTGACCAGTTTCTCCAAATAGTTGCTATAAATGTATACACATACACATACTTTTAAAGTTATTTATGATAAAGTTGCTGGGCTATTTGTTTAATGGGCTAGTTAAATTTAATGAAACTCTTGATAGAGTACTGAAATTCAACATTTAAGTAAGGTTTCTTTAGTTCTTTAATAAAAAAAAATTGCCTAACCTTGTAGAACATTAGTTTTTGTATTTGGCCTTTACAAATAATTTTAGTGATATTTTGATGATTTTTGTCGATTTGATGATATATTGTTAATATATGATTTTATACGCTCACGGCAAGCATTAGGACCTACATAAGTTTTGAAGTCGAGAATTTGAAACTCAGGATTGGGATGTTGCTTAGAGATGGAGTGTGCACTCAATGTGCACAGTGCGCTTAGTTCATTCTTTAGCACTAGAAAAAGAAACAAAGAATTTGAAACTTGTTAAAGATAATTATAATGATAGTAGAATAAAACGGATAATGCTATGTTGAAATGTTGTTAATTGCTTTAGTATTTGTGCAGACAGATCCATAGTAAAATTATTTACAAATAAAGGTGTTTATTTGTATATACTTGTAAATTATTTGCCTTATTTCAGCATTCTGCTGTGATGAGGAAAATAGGATAGATAAATCTAGTTCTTCTTAGTGACATAATCTCAAGTGGCAATGTATAGGGTTTGGTTTTTTGTTTGTTTTCCAGTTTTGGTTTCTAAAATAGATTATAGCTGAGTTAGGAGGCTCGTTGCAAGTATGAGAATAGCCTGGGCTACAGGGTGAGCTCAAGGTCAACCTGTACTGTGTAGTCAGATCCTGTCTCTCTTAAAATAAAATAAAATAGATCTAATATAATTTCTACACGTGACCATAACACTTCCTAATGTTGAGGATAGGGCTATATTTGACCTGGCTTTTTTTTTTAATTTTGAACTTGGCATTTATATAAACTAATTACTTTGAAGTAGTATTGACTGGATTTAAGAGATTTTTTTGAACTTCAAGAAATGTGGTAAATTCAGAATTATTTAAAATTGTGACTGTATTTCACCAAGTCTGATTTTTGTTTTTGGGTTTTGTTTTTTTTTGGGGGGGGGGCGCTGGGTCTTGAACTCATGACTTTGTGCTTGCCAGGCAGGCACTTCTGTCAGAGAGCTATAGGCCCAGCCCCCCAAGTCTAATTGGAAGATTTTGGATTTGTCCAAAATTAAGATAAGGTAATTTAAACATTATTTTAAAATGATATCGAAGCACAAGTGCCTCCTTGGCAAGTGTGAAGTCGTCTGTTTGATCTCTGGCACTAAAATAAAATAATACTGCAGGACTCTTGGTAAGGCTTAGATAGGTATGGATGAATATGAATATATATCCTAAGTTAATTCGCCTGATTGTCCTGTCTTCAACGTCTTGCTTTTCTTCTTCTGCTTTAAAAATTTCAAAATGAAAAAGTTTCTCCTTACTTTACCTCTGAAAATCTACAGGATGGACATGTAGAGGTGGCACGTTTGCTTTTGGATAGTGGTGCCCAAGTGAACATGCCTGCAGATTCATTCGAGTCTCCCTTGACACTAGCTGCTTGTGGAGGACATGTTGAATTAGCAGCTCTACTTATTGAAAGGGGAGCAAATCTTGAAGAAGTTAATGATGAAGGGTATACTCCCTTGATGGAAGCTGCTCGGGAAGGACATGAAGAGATGGTGGCACTACTCTTAGCACAAGGTAAAACTTTTATCTTTCTTTTAAGGTTAACAAAACTGTATAGAAAGCAAACTTTATTTCTCCACTGGTATCATTACATTTTAGAACCATTTTCCTTCAGATTATAAAATACAGGGGGAAGGTGACAGGAAGAATAAAAATGATCAAGTTGTATTGTGTCCATCTGTCAATCCTCAAATCTGAATGTAATCATGTATCCAAAACAAACTAGTAAATTTTTTTAAATTTTAATTTTTATTCATATTTGCAGTACATAATGGCTACATTCCTTGTTCGGAGTTGGAATATGTACATAAGGTCTCAATTCTTTATCATTTCCTTATTCCCCATCTCTTGATTCCCTTCCCATTTGAAAAAGATCCACTTTCCTGTTATGTCTTTTATTTTGCTCCGTTTATATTTTGAGTTTCTCATATAAGAGAAATAATGGGATTATTAAACCCATGTATCCAGTGCTTGCTTCAGCAGCACATACACTAAACTTATGTATCTGATTTTAACATTGTAGTTTCAAGGTGTACCCATTTTCCTGCAGATGACTCAAGTTTATTCTTTATGGCAGAGTAGTATTTTGTCATGTATAAACCCACATATTCTTTATCCGTTCATCATCTGTCAATGGACATGAATGCTGCTTTCATGACTTAGCTATCATTAATTATTCTGTTGTAAACATAGGTATACTTGTATCACTGTAATGTGATGTCTTTGACTCTTTCTAACTGGGTAGAATGGAACATGTGTTTTTAGTTTTTTGAGTACTCCTCATACTGATTTTCACTGTAGCAGTACCAGTTTACATTCCCACCAAAAATGCAGAAGCATTCAAAACCGTGGCAGCATTTCTAATTACTTAATTTTTTGATGACAGCCATTCTTTCCAGAGAAGGTGGAATTTCAGTATTTTAATTTGCATTTCTCTAATGATCAGAGGCATTTTATTTCTTAAAAGCAACACGAATAGTTTCCTCTGGGTGTCCTGTATCAGTAGTATCTAAGTTTTGCTACATATAAAACCTTAATGTTGAAGCAGATTCTCAACATCATAGAAGGAACCACAGAAACAGTGAAGATAGAGATGATTATCACAGCTCAGAATAATTTTACTGTAATTCTTTTACAACTATTTTTATCTGTTTTTATGCTTTTCCAGGAGCAAATATAAATGCCCAGACAGAAGAAACTCAGGAAACTGCTCTTACCTTGGCTTGCTGTGGAGGATTTTCTGAAGTTGCAGATTTCTTGATTAAGGCAGGGGCTGATATAGAACTTGGCTGCTCCACACCTTTGATGGAGGCATCTCAGGAGGGACACCTGGAATTGGTTAAATATTTGCTTGCTGCTGGTATGTGTCTTTAAAAATGCCATATAGCACAGAAAGACAAGTACAAGTAAGACTTCACTTAATACATAGAATCTACAAAGCATGAACTCGGAAGAATGTAATACCAGTTACCAGAGTCTCAGGATGGGATTGGGTGAGGTGGGGTGTGGTGTGGACACATAAAGGGGAAACACTGATCAAGGGACAAAGGTCCTCCAGGCATGGTGCTTCACCCTTATAGTCCCAGTGCTCTGGATGCTGACACAGAACTGTTGCAAGTTTGAGACCATCCTAGGCTACAAAGTGAGTTCAAGGCCAACCTGAATTGCATAGTGAAACCATGTCTCACAGAGACATAAAAAAAATAAAATAAAGGACAAAGTTCTAATTATACAGAAGGAATAGTTATTACCTAGCATGGTAATAATCTAGTACCTATCTTATAATTACGAAGAATCAATTTAAAAAGGCTTTTGGAGGAAGCTGCTAAAGATAAAACCTGGGACTTTATGCATGTTAGGTATGTGTTCTACCACTGAACTCTACCTTCAGCTCAAGAGAGTAGACTTTAAATGTTCTTACCATGAAGAAATGATAATTATGCAAAGTGGTAGGTATGTAAAGCATCATATTACAGCTAATAGAGTATTTTTTTCAGTTAAAAATAAAGTGCAGTTGAATACAAATAAAACAATGCCTTTTCTTATTTTTTTGCCTTGGAAAATACCTTTTAAAAACAACATTTATTTAATTATTTAGTGTGGTACTAGAGATTGAACCAGGGCATGAAACATGTTAGGCAAGCCCTTTTCCACTGAGCTACATCCCTAACCCTATTTATATTGCTTTTTTTTAACTTTAGCAATTAACCTTGTCACATAAACAAAAGTTCAAAGACAGCTTCACAATTTAACTGGTTTTCTTAGCTAGCCTCTTAAATCTCTAAAAATATCATTTTAAGAATTTATTAATGTTTGCTTTGTGACCATAAGGATTCTAATTTATCTCTTTCCCATTGATGGCTTATAGATAAATTAGTCTTTATTAATAACAGGGGTGTGGTGACATTATTTTAAGCTTGTTTATTTCTTGACATTTCTAACTTGTCTCCAAAAAAATGAGGTATTAATTTTTTAGCAGCGTGATTAATTGTTAATTTTTTTTTTTTTGGTATTAGGAATCAAACTCATGACCTTGTGCTTGCCAGGCAGGCATTTGAGCCAGGCAGGCATGCCACTGAGCCAAATCTCTGGCCCCTGGAGTGGTTAATTTAAAAATATGGTTTATTCATTATTAGACAATCGTAAATTATTACTGTTATGTAGAATATTTATTACTTTATAGGATATACCAGAAAAAAATTGAGCCACATAGATAAAAGCCTTCATATATTTTTTGCAAGTAATACAGAAGTTTTCATTTCATCTGGATCTAGTATGTTTTTAAATTTTGATACTAAAGAAATAAGTATAAAAAGAAAGTTAAATATTTAAGAAAACCTTATTCATGTTTTGTAACTTTAATTGTTAACATTAAATAGGGCTTTTTCTTTTGAATTAATCATTTCTTAAACGAGATTGTTAAGTCTAGATGATTTGTGGATTAGGTAAAAACTACCCATAAAAACTGACCTCTTTCCTTACTCAAATATTTGTACTATTAATCTCTCTAGTTAGTGTATGTACTACTTAATCATTGTTCCCCTTTTATTTTCTGTAACTCCCATTCAAGAGTCAAGAAATTATTGAAGTTTGAGACCAACTCCAACAATTTAGGGAGAACCTGTGTTAAAATAAAAAATAAAAAAGTCCTGGGAATATAGTGCAGTGGTAATAGTTCTTGCTCTCTATTCCTAGCACAGAAAACAAAACAAACACTAGTCACTGTACTTAGCTCTTGTGTCATCTCCATTAATTGCTACTGGTGTCTGTGTAATAAGAATTGTTTAAAACATTCTTGTAGATCTGGAAACTGATGCACAATTATGTTATGTAACTTCTGTAAAGGAAGCAAATTAATAGTGACAAGAGCTAATACTCAAACTTAGAACTACTGTTATATTTTCTGTTGCCATTATCATTGATTCAACATTGGCTACATGGTTAGCTTCTTTTACTGATTTGAAGTATGTAGTTCCCAATACTATTTCAGGAGTTAGAATCACTTTTTTATATGATTGTTATCTAAAATTTTTTTCTCCCAGATTTAAGTAAGATTATTTATATAAAGTTTTTATAGTAGACTGCTACAGAAATACCTGCCTATACACTTAAAAAAAGAAAACTTTAAACATTTTTGGTATAGTATTTCTTAACTCTACAGAGAATATAGTATTATGAGACTTAACCCATCATCCAGTTCTAACTAGGTAAATGTTTGCTTATGGCCACTCCTATTTTATCTACATACTTTCCACATCCTAAATTTATTTTTAAAATGTATTTACTAAGTCTCAATCTGTAGCCTCTCTTTTTCTTTTTCCTTATAACTTTTTGATTAAAGAAATGGAATGTTTATTCTTTAGGCTCCCAGAGTGTAGATTTTCTTGATTTCCATTATTTCATTTAATTTGAATTTTCATGAGTTAGTTACATCTAGAGACCTCGTTTTGCACTGGTTTGATTTTTTTTTTTTTAATGGAAAGACTTCACAGGTAGTGTTGAAGGAGGTAATAAACATGTGATTAGCTATTTGGTTGCCCTTAAATACAGATCACATGGGAATAACAGGATAAATGCTTGATTCCACCCCCCTTTTTATTATCAATTTCCAACATGCTGATAGTCCTCTTGCATCTTTCAAAGGTAACAAATGAACTGCTTCATTTATTTTGCTTTTTTTGTTGTTGTGTTTTGAGAGAGGGTCTTCCCTCTCTCAAAAGGGTAGCCTTTCACTGGCTTATGTAGCCCAGGCTGGCTCAAACTCCAGGGAATCTTTCTGCCTCAGCCTCCTGAGAGCTGGAATTGTATACAGAGCATGCTACCACATCCAGCTTTGCTTTTTATTTGAACATTATTTTGAACTTTCATGTTTAAATGTACATGTTAACTTTATACTGTTTCTTTCTTTCTCTCGCTATTAGTTCAGGTTAGCCTTGAGCTCACTTTTTTACCCACACTGGTCTCGACAGTCATGCTGGGATACTTTTTGATGTAAAAATTACAAATAATGGGACAATCTGAATGTCTTTCGTTAATATGGTTAGTTCCTAATCCTTTAATGTGACTTCGTTTATATAATTTCCTTTCCTTCTTAGGTGTTCCAGGCAATGTGTTCCAGGCCCATCTTATCCAGTTCCTGCTCTAGTCTTAGAATCAATCATTTTCCTAAGATCCAGTTCTACACAGTGGAATTAAGACACTTAGAAGTGTCTACTTAGATATTACAATCTATGCTAGAAATTTCTATTTGACCTGTCATTTTCTCTGGGTTCTTTTCAGATGGTCAGGGTTAGTAACATAGGTTATTTTTATAGATTAAAAATATTACATCAAATTCATGTCTATTTCTGTGTCAAACCACAGAGTTTTTATATCAAGAGAATCGTCTTAAATCTGTGTTTTGTTTTAACCATGACCAATATTCATTTCTCACTATTTATACTACAATATCCAGAGAACTGTCTGAAAACTTTGTGTGTGTGTGTGTGTTTCAGCTGTTTTATTCCTGAAGAAAGTAAATATGTGGGGTTTTTTGTTGTTGTTTACTAGGTGCTAACGTGCATGCTACAACAGCAACAGGAGACACAGCCCTAACCTATGCTTGTGAAAATGGACATACAGATGTTGCAGATGTTTTACTTCAAGCAGGAGCTGACTTAGTAAGAAATTTTAAATTTTTAATACTTTTGCATGAATTTTAATGCTTATTCATTTATATTTAACAGAAAACATGAGTAAAGATCAGTAGTTTGCAAACTTTACATGACTTTTAAAACCATGACTATTAGCTGGGTATGGTGGCGCGTACCTATAATCCCAGCACTCGGGAGGCTGAGGCAGGAGATTGTTTCCAGTTCGAGACCAGCCTGGGCTACACAGTGCAGTCTAGGCCAGCTAAACTGCATAACGAGACCCTGTCTCAAAAATAAAAAAATAAATAAAATCATGACTACTTTAAATACTTTCATATCTAATAGTGCATAGTGTTCATGGGTAAAACCATTATTTTTTTATTTCATCCTCATTTGACCTTCCTGTAAGTTTTAAGATTTTGTTAGACATACCATAAATTCAGTTTGTTCACAGAATAAAGTTTTAACATATCAAATCACTGAGGAATTTCTTTTGTTTTTGATTATTTAAAAAGAAGCCTACTGTTTTAGCCTAATAACATTATTAAAACATTCTACTCTTTTTATGTTCTTTTAACATTTTGTTTAGATGTCAGGGTCATATGTATAGTAATCCTTACAATTATAACAAATTGTAAATAGTTGCAATACTTAAAAGGCTGATGTTTCTTGCTAAAATATACTCTTTTACTTTTATTTTCTAAAGGTGCTTTAAACTGCTTTCAAAAGTTTCTCTCAGAATTATGTTATATATTTCTTTTCTTTTTTTGGTACCTGGAATCAAATTCATGACCTCATGCTTGCCAAACAGGCACTTACATCACTGAGCTAAATCCTTGGGCCCTTTTATATATTCCTTAAAAATATGCGTAAAGCATACGTAGCTACATATGTAGAGAATTGGCTTTATTAGAATTATTTTTTTAAACTCTATATTGTCCTTTAAATCATTTCTAATAATATTTCTCAAATAGATACTTGAGAAATGTAGGAAAATAATTGGCTAAAATAAAGTGTAATGCATTTATAGTAGCTATTGTAATAATGACAGTATACTTTATTCTTTCTAATGAGGATCTGCTATATCAAAGTTTTTAAGAAATTATACTATTTTTTGTTCAGAGAATTGTAACAGATATAAGTAATATTTTGTCTTAATGTTTTGTCTCCTTTTTTAATGTCTTTTTTCTCCACTTAGAGTTGCTTTGGGTAATCTATAAAAATTAGGAAATTGAAGTATTTCACACTATTTGAAATTTTAAAAATTGGATATAGCGTAAAAGTTCAGATAATATAGCCAAAATTTAATCTCTTACCTGAATTCTTACCTGAATTCTTTCTTTTTCAGTTTTTCTCTTTTAATCTTTTCATTGTTTTTCTGAAAATATTAAATAAGAAAAAGAAACTGTTAAATGTATTCTACTACACCTCAAAACCTTAATGATTTTTGATTAAATTAAAAACTTGCTATAAAACATGTTAAAATGTTAATAAAATAACATTTATAGTTAAGTATAGTCTTTAGGAATTAGTGTTTATGATTTGATTTCTTAGAAAATTGCATTAAACAAGTAATGAATTTACAATATCTATTTAACTAAGGTTATAAAAGACATCTGTTAAATATTTATTAAGTACAAAAATATTCTGATATGCTTATGTTGTAATCTATTTTCACTTTCAGATTTACATACAATTATAGTCACGTAATAAATACATTTGTTTTTAGTACTGTCCACTGTACTCTAGCCATAGTCATTGCCATACTGATACATGGTCTCTATGACTTGCATAATACTCCATCAGGTAGATAGATGAATGATAATCACTCGCTTCCTTATTGAACTTGCTTTTGTTTTTTCACTGTTGTAGATATTGTTAGGCTTAATAATTTTATATATATAACTTTCTGCTTTTTCTTTCGAACTTCATAATTGATTTTAGCAAATTTTAATTATACTTTAGCTATCTACTGACTATTCTGTACATTAGCCATCTGTGCAAATATACCTGTGCAAAAATTCAATTTTGACATTGAATTTTTCTTGATAATAAACAGTCATTATCTTTAGTGTAAGTATGATAATTTTGCTATTTAAACTTTATAACTTGGGGCTTTGCTATAGAACAGAAGAAAGAAGTTGCAGTTAAAAACGGGAAGCATGGGGCTGGGGATAAAAGGACAATCAAAATACAACTGGAGTGGGTGGGGGTTTAACTCAGCGGCATAAGCGCCTGCCTTGTAAGCAGGCAGTCGTGAGTTCGATCCCTGGTACCGTCGATCCCTGGTACCGATAAAAACGAAAAAGACTAAAAAAAAAAAAAAAAAAAAAACAGGAAGCATTTTAGGTGAGGGTGCAGTTTAGTAGTAGAACATTATTTCCTCGTATGAAACGAGGATTTTGGATTTACATTCTAAATATGTAGTAAGTATAATTCAGAACTTCGCTTTAAAAGAAATTTTGGAAAATTTTTTTTAAAACTCCTAGCTAGAATTTATAACATACTTAAGCATTTTCAGAATATGTGCATTTATGTCAAAGTATGTGTATGTTCAGTTCGTGTTTTTTAAGTTATTTTCTATTTTTTATTTTTTTGATCTTTTTGAGACAGGGTTTCCCTAAACAGTTCAGACTGGCCTTGAGCTCACTTTGTAGCTCAGGCTGGTCTCAAACTCAAAATGATCCTCTTGCCTCAGCTTCCCAAGTGGTGGGATTACAGGCGTGTGCCACCACACCCAGCTTTTTAGAGTTATTTTAAACTACATTTTCTCTAATTCTAAATATATTTTAAATTAAGAATTTGTGTATTTCTCATTGGAAGCACTGAATATCCATTTGTAGAAAATAATGGATTGTATTTTGGTGCTTTGATATATGGCTTATATTTTTAATGAATGCAGAAGCTTGAATAATCCATTTTTTAAAACTTTTAGGGGCTGGAGATTTAACTCAGCGACTTAAGCACCTGCCTTGCAAGCAGGTAGTCATGAGTTCGATCCCTGGTACCGATAAAAAGGAAAAAGACCAAAAAAAAACCTTTTAGACTAGCTTAATATTCTTAAATAGGCCACTTGGCATTTTGAATTTTCGAAAATCAAAATACTAAAGGAAATAAAAAGTTGTCTCTAAGCACAGGGTTTTAATGAATAAGCAGATCACCTTGAACAAGTGACCAAATCCTTCTGCATGCATCTCTAGTTATTACTGTAGTGGGATTCACGTACATTGAAATAGATTATTTCTGTTTTCTTTCTCTGCATAGCATTTTTGTTTATCGGACTTAGATTTAGTATATGTTGTGAGTACATGTAGAAGGTTATTACAAGAAAGTTTAATTAGCATTTTCTAATGAACAAGTTGTTTAAAAAATTTTTTAAGCCTTTGGAAATCAATCTTATTTCTCTGATAAGGATTTTCCTATCTGTGTTCTTATGTAACTGAACTACTTAGCCAGAAATAATCCTTTAATAACTGAAGTAGACCAACTCCCATAGTCTTGAGCTACTCCTGTGGTGTCCTGTATTACTCCAGGATGTTTTTTTCCAAATACTGAACTTTAATGCAAAAACCAGAATTTTGGTATTTCATATTATTCTCAGCTTCATAACTTTAGCCAAAGTGTGTATATATTCTTTTATCATAGTCCTTCAACTCTACTTCACTATTCTCAAGTTCACGATGGAAAAATTATATAATTAACAGTGTAATTGGTGTTATGATAAAGCACTATCCTGTACCATTCTTTTGCTTTTTTTACTACTTTGATATCAGTGTTTTTCAGGCTTCCATGTTCACTCATTTTATTGTCACAGACATTCTTGTTCTTAAGAGGGAACCTCATCAAGTCAGACTTTCCAAAGGCACTAATAGATAGTGACATAATGTTTAGGTGATGCCAGTGTGTTGGCTAGCATGTTATGAGTGTTTTGGTGAGGTTTTGTATTTTTCAAACTGCGAGGATAGTAGGGTTTCTTTTTTCATTGTAGAATGTTAATTTCAGCATTAAAATTTTTGTATACTTGTTAGAATGGAAGAAATATTTGTCACCTATAGAGTTACGTTCATATGAATTTGCCAACAAAGCTAAGTTGGAATGGGAGAAAGAGCAATGGGTAAAGAAAGATTCCTTTCTCTTTCCTAGTTCTTCAGCCTTTTATATCTAGATGAAGTGTACCATGGTATAGCTGACAAATATGTTCAAAATGTAAGCAATGTTTACCCTAATAAATCAGGAAACAAAGTAGATACGTACATTGTAACTATGTTCATGTAAATAGATTGTGATCAAATTTAGCATTTTATAGGCCTGTATTTCTATTCAAAAGTAAATCTACTAAATGAATAAACAGTTGTAGAAGAAATTCTGTAAACCTGTTACTGAATGGAGAGGTCTTACAAGTGACAAAGGCTCCATTTGACTGTTCAGGAAGCACTAATGCCCTGAACATTAGAAAAGGCACCTAAATTTTTATCATTGCTATCAAATCACTGATTTATAAATGAACACTTGCCTCACTATTGTCATTTATATGAAATTTATTGTCATCTGTCTGAAATTTATTACTATCTTCTGGACATTATTCCAAGGTCATACAAATATTTATAATTTAGGATTTGGCAGAGAGCCATTACAATGAAATAGAAAGTGACTTTTCCTGTGCTGGGAGAACCTGGATTATTGTCTTTTCTGAGTGTCCTGCAACAAAACATTTAAGTTTTCTAGATTTCTTTTATTCTTCATTTTCCTCCGCTTGTCCTTGTTTTTTGAAGAGTTTAGACCAGATGATCTTTGGTGACCTGGCTGAAAAAAATTAATTATATGACTTCTAAAGGACATGTCAATCCAACTACCTGTTGGGATGTATAGAATATCTTGAGTGCTTTTCTTCATGCAGGGATATGTAAATTGCTATTGAGATCCTTGAAGAAAATGACATTTTAAGGCTTACTAATGGTGATATTATATAAAGTGTTGTTTTAAAATCTTTGTATATATTGGCTGGTTGTGGTGGCACACACCTATAA